TCTTTTTCTTCTGATTATACCATTTAAATAAATTCTTTTCGTGTAGTTTCAGTGGCAATCATATGCAAAGGTCCTTGATAGACTCCCCGATTTCTGTAAACAAGGCCAAACCATTTGGACGACTAAGTATTGGATGTTTTGTTGGGCAATAAGGGAACTCCACGAGTCGGGCAGAGTTGTGAGACAATTTGGATATATACAGGGTGTTCCCAGTCGCCCTATGATTAAAGATAGCACAACATTTCTTCTCGATCACAGCCACAGTATGTCTGGGTATCCTAGCAATAATTGGGTGGATCACCATTGCACAGTACGTTCTCACTGGAGAAAGAGAGAAAAGTACGTTCTACAAGATTTGGAGGTCGGATACCCTGGCTAAGTATATGAGGGGTATTACAAATGGTTCATGATGAACACTATCAAGCTGATATCCAATCCCAAAATTATGAACCTCAAGGATACGAGACTTCTTCGAGCCGAGTGAAATTATATGTGAGTTCATTTTTGGTTTTTTATTTCTTATATTTTCCTTTTATTGTTTTAATTTATTTTTTTGTAATTTACTATCTTATTTAACGTTCTAATTTCTTTTCAGGGTGAAGTATTGAACAACATTCGCTTGAGTTCCGAGTTGTTTAGAGATAAACGAGAAGATAACAATCTCCTAGACGAAGAACACGAGGAGCATTTGAACAGAATCATCGATCAAACACATGCTGCTTTAACCCTGTGTGCAAATGATGAGATGGACGTGGAGGATACCCAAATCCTGGTTGATGAAGAACCATCTATGCCCTCACAACCTTCGCCGGGTAAAAAAGCGAAACCATGACCGAGAGATAAGATAGGACGAGGAAGAAAGAGAAAGATAGTGATCCACCCTCGAACATCGCAAGAAAAAAATGAGGGTCAACAAAATGAGGATCAACCACATTCTTCTTGAGGCTCTCACATCCAGATCCAGACTCAATTTGAAGACATTGGTGGACCCGAGACTCAATTTGGTTGAGAGTCACAACTGCAACCGGGAGTCCCACTTCTCACCATGGGAGAGTCCCAATCCCAACCCCAATCGCGTCAACAACAGGGTTCAATACTCACGTATCTTTTGAGAGAAGACAGGAACCGGCAGGAGCCAAATAAATTCACTCCGGATGCCCCTAAGAAAGGAAAAGGGAAAAAATGATCCCTTTCATGTAATTTTACATTAAAAGTAGTTTTTGGATTGAATCTTGTTATGTTTCGTTGCTAATCGAATGACGTTTTATTGTTTTTTTTTTTAGGTAAAATGTGAATTGTATTGCATTCCAAAATTGCCCAAACGTTCAATTATTTACATTCTAATCATGGCCTCCTCTCTATACAAACACTAATGTAGAATAATATTAAGAGCAAACAGAACTGCAATATATAACTAAACCAAAAGATCTGCTAAAAACCTTTTCTCCCTTACACGCTTTGCCCTGCATTTATAATGACACCTCCATTTAACTTCCTGTTTGATAGTTTCGGCTATGGTCTCCAGTTTAGCGTGTTTACCTTCATGTAAATGTTGGTTCCTAGCTTTCCAGATATGATAGTACACTGCTACAATGATGGCATATAAAATTGTCTTCTTCATTTGGCTTCCCTTCCATACATAGAAAAGCCTCTGCCAATTTTTCAGAACAAGCCAGCTATTTGGAAACGCCATCCAGGCTCTGATTTTTCGCCATAGTTCCTGGGCAAACCTGCAAGTGGTAAACAGATGTTCTAAACTTTCCTGCCCAGTACTGCACAAAAAGCAACTTTCATCATCCACTTCCATACCCATCTGTTTGAGCCTGTCCTTCGTCAGCAATTTGTTCTGCCAGCATAACCAAGCCACAAAACAGTGCTTAGGCACATTGAGAGTATTCCAAACTAGATCTAACACTTTGATTCGCTGTTTTTCTCCCTTCATCCAGGTGTACGCATAAGCAGTGCAGTAAATACCATTTTTCTGTGCCAGCCATCTATTATGATCATGAGGAGTTTTTTCCACTTCCAACTTGATTCATTTACCACCCTGACATCCCACAATCCTTTCTTCTTCAAGAAAACTCCATGGATCCAATTTATCCAAAGATTGTCTTTACATTGAATCAGCTCCCATATTTTATTCCCTACTGCTGCTTTGTTCCACACTCCTATATCTTTAATTCCAAGGCCTCCTTCTTTCTTTGGCAAATAGACTTTTTGCCACGCTACCAAAGGAAATGATCTACCAGAAGCCTTTTTATCCCAGAGAAAGTCTCGGCACAATCTTTCAACCTGCTTTAAAACACTAGCTGGGAGCAAATAAACAGTTGCCCAATAGGATTGCATGTGAAGCAGCACAACATTGATCAATTGCACTCTTCCCATGTACAACAAGTGCCGGGAAGCCCAACTTTTCAGCCTACAAGTAATCTTTTCAATCAACTCCTGACAATCTTCCTGAGATCAAGCACCGGGAGAAAGAGGAAAACCTAGATATTTCAGGGGAAAAGTTCCCCTTTCAAACCCTGCGATAGTCTCTATTTTTTCCCTCAATTCATCAGAAAATCCAGCAACATAAATTTAGGACTTTACCCAATTTGCAGTCAGACCCGTAACAACTCCAAATTCTACCAGTTTCTTCATGATTGTTTTCACTGTATTCTCATATGTTTCATGATGTTTATTGTTTTGTTGCCAATAGATTTTTGTTTTTCTATTTTTCATTGTTATTGATACTGTAAACAGAACCAGTCCAATTTTTTTTTTTCAGTTTTGACAAAGATTCGGATTTAAGAAATTCGATGTCAAAAATTTTGTAGAGGACCCGGATTTAGGAAATCCGAATTGGTAGCTAATTGGGAGAAGAGAAAATCCGGATTTACAAAATCCGTTTTCACTATATTCGGATTCCCGTAATCCGAATTAATCCAAATTTTATTTTCTATCACTTACATTTTTTTTCCTACCACCGGAAATTAATATTTTATTAGTATATTCGGATTCTTAAAATCTGGTTTTAGATTAATTACACTAATTTCTTTTATTAACTTAATCTCTGATTTACATTAAACAAACTCGGATTTCAGTAATGCGAGTTTATGTGTATTCGAATTTCAAAAATTCGAGTACATCCCTAATTCGAATTTCAGAAATCCGTGGCATGTAATTTTGTCCACAAAAATTTTGAAAGGTTTATTTTTTTCCAAGTCCTTAATGTGCAAGTATATTTAAGGAAAAAACTCGTGAGGTTTTGGTGTTCAAGGGTCACATCCATATTTGTGGTAAAATGGCAAGCTAAGTGGCCTCGGTGATGCTTATGAAGTACTAAGTGCTTGTTTGGATGTCATCTTACATTTCATTTTGTCACTTAAAAGTGAAAAGTGTTTCAAGTTGAAAACTAAATAGGAAATGAAAATATTGTTTGGATGGTATTTTGAACAAAAAGTTATTTAGATATTGGTTTTGGAAAAAATATTTTGAACTACATTTTGAAATATCAAGTAAGAGTCATCACTAAACAATTAAATACTGTCAATTATAGTCGCTGCAAAAAAGATTTTTTCCAAAAACAATCACTCAACAACGGAAATCTCATTTTAGTCACTACAAAGTTGAACTTTTTGAAAACAATCACTCAACAATGAAAATCCCATTTTAGTCACTGTAAGAAAAAAAATTTCAAAAGTGATCACTAAAGAACTGTAAAATGATCACTAAAATCACGGAATAGCTTCTAAAATTAATATTTTACAGTGACCAAAATCGACGCATTTCTGTTATTTAGTGATAATTTTTAAATTCTTTTTTTACGGTGACCAAAATTGACAATTTTTTATTATTTAGCGATATTTTTTGACTTGATATTTCAATACATATTCCAAAAATTTTTTTTCCTACCCACCATCAATTGTAGAAAGTATTTTTTTTTGACTAAAAACAAAATGAAATAAATGTGTAAAGTTTTGGATTCAGTTATTAAACTATTTTTAGTTCCAAAAAATGGTCACTACACTAACAAAAAGTGTTTCAAGTTGGATTTTAAAATGTAATCAGAAAGTTGTTTGGATGATGTTTTCTTTTCCATTGGGTTTTGTGTTTAAGAGGTAAAACGAGTTAAAATGTAAAACGAGTGAACAAACATACAAGCTCTTGTCCAAAAAAAAATTTACGTGGAGTTTTGAGATTTATACTATTTTTAGTACGAAGTTCAAAACTCGAGGTGAATTTTCTTTTTTTTTTTTGGACCGAGGGAGTATAGTATTTTAGTTTGAATTGTGAATTAGGGAGTCAAAACTGGAAATACTATCTCATGCCTCCACCTTGGATATTGTCAAAGAAAACAAAATAAATATCTGGCCTTCAAGAATTAGTAAAAATGGGCACACTCCCTTGCTGGACCTAAGTGGACTGGAAAGATTATTTTTAAGTCAGTCATTATTTCTTTTGTTGTGAACTTTCAGAAGGCCCCTTCATTACTAGTACTACTTTGTACTACCTTGTTGCAATAAATATCGGATACACATATCATGAATCATTTTGCGCAAATTATACAGAAAAAAAATGGCCCATTAGCGTCATTAGATTTTTGGGATTGTTTGGCACGAGCCATATAATGCAGGATTTGCTTGAAAGATTCATCTAGATATGTATTGATTGGATTTTGTACCCATGTTCAATATGTTCATACATCCTCTTAAATCTTTGGATAAGTGATTTATATGTTAATAATGTTATTTATTCATTTATATTTTTTTTTTTGTATATTTGTAGGGTGTCCATCGTCGGTAATAGTAACTAATCTCTCTTGCTGAATTATATGTTAATAATGTTATTAAAACTATATAATTGAAAAGTCAAAATTATATCACAATCCAAAAAATTCAAAATAGAAATTCAAGTCAATAACACTTGAGACCAAGCTCCATGGTTATTTATCACGTTACATAATTCTTTTATTATGTTATTATCAAATGAAACTACAAGAATCTTTGTTTCATTTTCTATTTTTTTTCCTCACAAAACAGAAAAGAAAATCGGACATGATGATGAATGATGATTAGTAAAAGGAGAATCCACGTCATCAACTACCGCGTTTTCCTCCCTTTCTATTTTCTCGCTCTCTCTCCTCGCTGCTGACGACCGCGACGCCTTTGGCGTTTACCAGTCTTTTTCCTCTTCTTTCCTTCCTTTTTCCTCTTCTTTCATTTCTTAGCTTCCCACAAACGATTTTACCGGAAAAAAAAAGAAAATACCTCCAAAAAATTCTGCAGAAATTGGAAAGAGAATCATCATTTTGAGCTGATTGGATTAATTAATGGATCATTCCCTCTGCTACAATGCATCCTTTACCAAAAATCTCCATCTTTCGTAGAAAGTCAAGTCGTACTAGTACCGGAAGTGGTGGTGGTAGTAGTAGAATGGGCCGCTGGGGAGGCGGCGGAAGTCCGGCCACACCGAAATTGACGCCGAGGTTGGAAAGGCTTACCGCTTCCAAGAACTTTAAGTACGAGCTACCATCGACGACTTCCGAAGACTCGTCGGAATCTACTTCTTTTACTTTATCGTCGTCGGCGTCGCCGGGATTGAAAACGCGATCGGCTGATGCCTCTCCTCTGTGCTCCGTGTCTGACAGGACTAGCTTTCGGATTGAAGGAACGCAGGATGAATGCGAAGTGATTATTCGAAGTTTGGGGTTTACTGGACCGGAGGATTTTGCTATTCCGGCTGAAGCTTGGGAGGCGATGAAGGACCGGTCTCCCTCTGGTGTTGTAGTTTCCGGTTTCTCGCGGCTTAATTTTGAAGTTCCATGTCCGAAGGTTAGTAATATTGATGGTCAGACTAAAAATGCTTGCCCTAGGGTAAGGGATGATGTAAATTATTCGAAATTGGATGGATTAGGGGGTTTAAATTCCCGCAGTAGTATTAGTTTAACTTGTTCGAAGACGGAGGGGATTGATTTTGGATGCTCCGATAGTAGTGCTAGCTCCGATGTTAGCTTAGCAGGTCCGAAGATTGTGGGCATAGACTTCGGATGTTCGGATAGTTGTAATAGAGACAGTTATGAAAATAGCAAGAATATTGTTGTAGTTTCTGATGATTGTGATGTTGTCCGTGAGTTGTCCAATAGGTTTAATGATTCTGAAATTAGGGAAATTGATCCGACTTCGAGAACAACTGGGGCTGTTAATGTTCATTTTCTTGGGGATAAAGATGAAATGGTTAATGAGAGGGAGAGCAGTAGGATATTTGGCCGCGGTGGGATTAAAGGTGCACGGCCGCCAGCTCTAGCCCCACCGCCTGCAATGTCTTTGCCTGTTACTGATAATGGCTGTTCAACTTGGGATATCTTGAAGTCGTTTGGTCCCGATAATGGGAGGGATTTCAGGTTTGGAGATAGTGGTGCTGTTAGCTCGGATGATGAAGATACTGGAGATGGATATGAAGAAGAGCCCGAGGAGGTTCATAATGTCATGGTGAGGAGTACAACTGGAGTTGCTGGTGTTCTCTTACGGTCGGGTTCTTGCTCATTCACCACAAATGACGATGATTCATCTAGCACCACAACTGAACCTATGTCATCTAATTCTCCCAATGATAAATTTATCTGCATTATCACATATTGGGAGAAAGGTGAACTTTTGGGCCGTGGATCATTTGGATCGGTGTATGAAGGGATTGCTGAGTAAGTTTTGCGCTTTATTTCGAATTTGCATTTTTTTGGCCAGTCGAAGTTGGTTATTTGTAAGAATTTTTGCATTTCTACCTGATTTATTGATGCAACATCAATGTGTCACAAGCAACAATCGATGAGGCTTTTGTAGGCAAGAATAGAGCTTACAAATTGATCAAAATACATGAAGACGTTTTAACTTCAACCCATAGAAATTTTACGCCCTACCCTAGGGAACTTTAGGCATCACACTTGAATAAGACAAAAGTCGTAGCTGGAATTCTTCACTAGCTGAAATTTTGCTGTTTTCTGTTCTGTGAAATAGTTACACCATGTTTAGGGCAACCTAACCAAATAGTGTTTGGAGTTAGGATTCATTCTTTTACCTTTACCTACCATTTCATAGTTAGACTCAATGGCAAAAAGCTTAAACTTGTTTCAATAACTCATAGAAGCAAATACCTAAATTAAATATTCCAAAGTTAATGGAAGTACCCTTGACAACTAGAAGTATGATACACCTACTTTTCGGACTTAAGAGCATTTAATATCATTTCATATCTGTGCAACGAGTCACCTCAATTTCAGTTTCTACGAAAAACTCAGTCTTGTAGAACCTTTTCTTTTCCCCCTTTTTTGCATCCTTGTTTTGAAATTTCATTACATCTTATGATCTAAAAAACTGTGTCTTTTTTCAGCGATGGGTTCTTTTTTGCTGTAAAAGAGGTATCTCTTCTTGATCAAGGAGAAGAAGCGAGACAGAGCATTTACCAACTTGAACAGGTGTGGCAAGTTTTTATTTCTCTTTTCATAACAGGATGTGTGCTGAGAATTTGCATTTAATAGTCCTGGACTTGTGGTTAAGTAATCCCTACTTTTATTCTTTGCCAGGAAATTGCTCTTCTAAGCCAGTTCGAACATGAGAACATCGTGCAGTATTATGGCACCCAAAAGGTACTGGTTGAGATTGCCCTTTGATGTTATTTTAATTTGGTTGATATTCTGGTGGCCATAAGTTTGGTACTCATTGTTTGCAGAACAAAGTTTGTTCTTTTGTTATGGGAATCATACTCTATATTATATTTAATATAATACTCTTAACATTTTAAGGACCAGTAAAATCTCACTTGAATTGGTTTGTTATAGATTTTTCAGCTGTTAAGTTAGTGCTTTGCAATGCTTTATTATGCTATGTAGAGCAAGGAAATCTGATACTTTGGTTGGTGTTGTGCAGGATGAATGTAAACTTTTCATCTTTTTGGAGCTCGTGACTAAAGGATCACTGTTGAATCTTTATCAGAAGTATAACCTTCGAGACTCGCAAGTGTCTGCCTATACTAGACAAATTCTACACGGGTTGAAGTATCTCCATGATAGAAATGTTATTCACAGGTAATTAAGCTCTATAAGAGGTTCTCTCCAACTTCAGCATCGTTTTCTCCACTAAATACACCTGATTTTTCCAAAACATTTTAATTGTAGTGCATTTTATTGCTCTGCAGTAAGTGTCTTCACATTTAAACTTATCACGGTTTCTGAGCTATTGTTTTCCTTTGGTTGTTCCCTCCTGTACAGAACCCTTTAAATGAACATAGGCATATAAGTGGAAACCTTGATTTTGATGGAAATGCAGAAATATAATATTCAATGTCCCATTAAAAGGATCCTAGTTTTTAACATCTTCTTGCTTTAAATAATAGTCTTATTTGAACTTTTTTGCTTCAATAGCTTTTGCTAACGTCATCATGTGTGGTCCAAATCCAATGCTTAAAGGGAGGGGTTAAAGTGCATGAAAAGCTAACAAAAAGCTTATCTATGTGTCTTACCAAAAAACCCATTATAAGTTGGTCCTTTTAAAAAGATAACATTTTTTTTGGGACGATTGGAGAACCGTAAATCTCCCCTAAAATATACAAAATTCTCTTAATTCATTTCTGGTCAAATTGTGTAAGCATATTCTTCTGAACTACCTGTATAGGGCAGATAGTGCAACCTCTCAAATACACGTATTGATAGTTTGGAGATATAGATCGGTGCCATTTTAAACAAGTTGTTTAAGCTTAGTGATGATGTCTTTCTGATTTCTTTAAATCTCAAAATTATCCTTTCTAGGGACATCAAATGTGCAAATATATTGGTGGATGCAAATGGATCTGTAAAACTTGCCGATTTTGGTCTCGCGAAGGTCATGACTTCTTTTCCCTCTCGTAATTACCTTGTTATCTTCTTTTGATAGTCCTGAAATAGTTCTTGAACTGTCCTGACAATGCTATTTTTGCTTAGGCAGGCCACTAAACTGAATGATGTTAAATCTTGCAAGGGAACTCCATTTTGGATGGCTCCTGAGGTTAGTTTCCCGACTCCCAAGCTACCACTCTCAATTGTTTGTCATGAAATTTTTATCAGTATACACTTCTTAATTCTCTAGGCGGCATGTAGATGGTTCCTTCATTATTTCATGAAATACGAAATCCAGCTTACAGCATACTGACTTGATTAAGCATAGAAATTGCTTTTGCGTGAAACCAGTGGACAGAAGTAATAGAGAGTTTCACACAGTTCTGTACTTTCGGGTCATGTTTTCTCTAATTATGTCTTTGTTCTCCTTTTTCAGTGATGCTATAATTTTCCTTTTCTGAGAAATGTATCATTGGCTCTTTGTGGTCAATTGTGCTTGGGGAAAGTTTAGGTTAACCATAGGAACAATTCGAACAGTCTGCTTGATCATCGCTAATTCAAATTTGATGCATAATAAGTAACGACGGTGCTAAATTGAAGGACAGATCTACTCTTTTATTCTAGTTATCTAAAACCTTAAGCTAAGTCAAGATTTTTTTTAAAACAGCACAAGATTTTTGCATGTATTTTGTGAGATTATTATTATTTTTTCGGTAAATATCTTTTTAAGCTCAATCGAGCTGGCTGTTAAGTCAGATATTATTACAAATGCGCTTTTAGAGATATTAGAGAGAATTGAGCTTTATGCAAGCAAGGAAATACCTCAACTATAACCAAAGAAAAGAAGGGAAAAAAAAGGAAATACCTCAAAGCAAAACTAACTTTCTTACTACAAGAGTATTATTTCAAAGAAGCATTTACTCAGCTATAGAGCTGACAGTTTGTACTTTGCAGCTGAGCTTTAGCTCTCAAACTAACTTTATAAAATAATGAGCTTCTAGAGATAGCAGTACACAACACGAAAATCTGAATGAAAGTAAGAAAGTATATATGCCTGCTGGACAAGAAGCAAACAGAACACTAGAGGAAAAATAAAGAGTAAAATGTTTGCCTGTTTGGACTTCCTCACATCTCATTGTTGTCTTCTTCATAATCTACCTTTAGTTATGATGTGCTCACATTTGATAACTTCTTATTGGCTCTATCCAGTGTACTGGTAAAATAAGCTTTCTCTGGCTCTATGTATTGTTGTAATGCTTGAACAATCTTTCTTTAAAAACTCCTGGGCCGTTAAATATTCAGGTCCTTCAATCGCATGCGGTGATTTAATTGCTGAGATAATCAGTATTTAATTCTTTGACTGGCTGCTACCACGTTTTGTAAAGTGGCGTCATTTCCCACTTATCACAGCGTAGAGAATCTAGAGATTTCCTTTGCTTTATACATATAATCCTGTAGAAACTATTGTGGTAGGAAGGGTGAAAGCAAGCAGAGCGTGAGCTAGGCAGTGTATTCTTATTATTTTCGTTGGGAGATGAGAGATCATCTACAAGGCTGAACATTTAGCTGAAAAAGTTTCCTGAATCACTGGGCTTTCCTGTCTAATAATCTTTTATTCTCATTCTCATTCCCTCTCTCTCGCGAATTAAACTTGAGAAGAGCAACATTTTAAAAAATGGTTGATTGCTGTAAAAAATAGTGAGAATAATTGAATGATGATGTTTATGATGATTAAATGGGGAGCAGTGAAATGTTTAGAATGTTTTTGATCAAATAACCATTTAATTATTGAGAACTTGTTCCATATCTTTAACTTATATCCTACCAAATCCCTTTGTAAACCTACGTGGCCATTGACTGCTCTCAGAGCCTCTAAAATGAATGATCAAATGGCAATTTGGTGATTGTACTTTGTCATTTTCTACTGGAATTGTGTTCCTTAGAATTGAATTGGTGATTTGGCATGCCAAGGGCATTCTCACTCTTCTGTTTAAGTTTACTTAATGATGCCTTCGTCTTCATTTCTGTGAAATATATAAACTATTTAGGCACAATCAATAGTTCCTCAAGTTCGAAGTTAGACATCGGTTTCTGCATACAAGCACATCCATAGCAGTGAATTCATCTGCTTGTCTATCTTGAAACGTTTTTACTCCAAAATACATGTAGGCTTCGTCTTTGGAGCTTTTTAAATTCATTCACAATGCAGTATGTCTCTTGCCTGTCAGTTCATCTCATGATAACTTATACTGTATTCAAATGGATGCTTGCATTTCTCTTCTTTTGTCTGTTTGCTTGCAAACATGCTTGTTTGCCACTCTTGATTTTACAATCGTATCCTATCAATTTGTTTCTTGTACGCTGCCTCTTTTGGATGGTCTTCTCAACTTGCTTTCTTACTGTGATACCCTTTTTGGTCCAGGTTGTTAACAGGAGGAACCAGGGATATGGTCTAGCAGCTGACATATGGAGCCTTGGTTGCACTGTATTGGAGATGTTGACTCAGCGGTTTCCATACTCACATTTGGAACCTGTAAGTTTATCTCTCTACTTGTCATCTTTGATTATTTTCTACGTCCCTGATAAATTTATGAAGAAAAGTTCACAATATTTTTGAGTAGTAGTTTCATTCTTTTTTTCCCCCCTTCATTTTCATAGTTTACAACTTCACATTGTTCTACTGCCTTGGAGCTGCCAAATGGTTTCCTTTATTCCTTGAGTGAATAGTTACATTGGCTTAAGTTAGGTGCATGCTTAGGATCAGCTGCAGTTACTTTGCTTTTCTTTGCAGACCACTGCACCAAAATGAGTTTCTATGTCGTGTGTTGTCGTTTTACACATATCTATGCTTGAGGCAAAATGATATATTGGCAAGCAAGATTAATTTAAATTTGGAAACAGAATATTTGAAATGTAACTTCATTCACCATATGACATCTATTGTAACGACCAGCTTATGTTAGACTAAGTCAGCAATAATGTTATCAGAATACTTGTTTAGTTGTCTCATACTTTGCATGTGCTCAGTTATTAATGGTTGCATTGCGAATTAGGTTACTGTAGTGGTAGATGCCGAAATTCGCAGCATTGGTCAAAGAGTAGTTCTAAAATGAAACCAACATAGATACTGTTTGAAACCTAACCAATTGGAGATCATTTTGGATTTGATCTCTGGAGATTGGATAGTAACTTAGTAATTTTGGTGATATGCTTTGGAATTATTAATATCTGTTGTTTATGATCTTTTAGTGGTTAGGAAGATATGAATGGGGAAGTATCCTTGTAGAAAGACAATGTTTTTGTTATTTAATTTTAAAGTGGAAAAACTTTGGCATGAAATTACATTATTAGGGGATATATATATCTTTCCGTCTTTACGTGGCTGACGTAACTAACTCCATGGTGTGATGAAAACGAGCAGATGGCAGCATTATTTAGGATCGGAAAAGGTGAACCACCGCAAATCCCTGATACTCTGTCTTGTGATGCTAGGGAGTTCATTCTACAGTGTCTACAAGTTAACCCAAGTGATCGGCCAACTGCTGCCCAACTATTGGATCATCCATTTGTGAAGCGGCCACTCTCCTCCTCGTGCACAGCATCTCCATACCATCCCAGCAGGCGTGTCTGAGCAACTCATTGAAAGCAGTCGGTCTTTGTATTCTACTACTGGAAATTCCTACTGGCGGCTGACAACTCTCATCGCCTTTTGAGAATGACTTGTTCTTTGTTTCCGAGTGGTGACTTCTCATTGATCATGTTCACCTTGCTTACTTTTGGACGATGGCTCTGAAGAATCCTTCATATTTTGCCACGAGGGTTGACTCAAATGCGGTGGAGAATTTGCATATTGAGACCAGATCGCTAGTCGATTGCATATTGAGACCAGATCGCTATTCCATTGCTTGTACCTCAAATGTTGGGATAAAAAAGAGTTGATATCTGAAGTATTCAAATTGTTTTCCTGCTAGGCAATTTGTTTCAGCCAAAGCAGAACAAATTTTTTTTTTTTTTTTTGGGTATGTCTCTATTTCCTCTGTAGCCTGTGTTGAGATTACAACTCGTCTGCTTTGGCAACATTTGTAAAGATCGATCCTTTTTGCATTAAATGTAAATATTCACTAGGTTTTACTGTGTCTGCCACAGTTCCACACTTCCACTAGTATATAAAGTTCCAAGTTCAAATCATATATGCCCGCTTGTCCCGGCTGACAAGTGAGAATCCATAATTACTTCAAAGGTTTTGAACCAGAGGAGTTAGAAGTCTGAATCAGCTAATTGTCCACTCTGAATTTTTGTTTTTCTTTAAAGATAATTGTCCAATATAGAGTTCACTGAGCCACTTTGTCTTAGTCCCTGAAAGATTAATAATAATAACAATGAGTGGGGAAAAGGGCCACTTTCTCTTCTTTGCTTTTAAGCAGGCATGTTCCCCATATTCATATTCGTGTTGAAATTATTTTTTAACTTTTTAATTTTTTACTGTTAGCAATTGACCAGTAGTTGTATTGTATGTTCACGACTTTTCAGTTTTGTATGAATAACCTTGTAACTAATTTATCCTTCTTTTTTCTTTTTTTTTTTTTTTTTTTCTTTTGAGAATCAGCGCATTGTGTTATGTATATATTTAAGAAACTGTTACAATGTTACAAATTGTACTATCAGGTATTACAAAATGTTTTAGACTAAGGCAAGAAAAAGTGTGGTTGGAAATGATCATTGCATCGGATGCACTCAAATGAACCATAACCATAAAGCAGGTTTAATATATGCTGTGCATAACAATAACAAGCCGAACAAATTTTTAAAGTGCTTTTAGCATGAAAGTTGGTAATTTTTTCACTAAGATAATTATGATAGATGATCTTTAACTTATGGATTGTAGGCTGTATCAAATAATCTCTTAAATCATTAATTAATTTGTTGTAATTTAGCTTGTATTTTCCCTCCTTTCTAATGAGTGAGATTTTGCATAAAATTAGACGAAGGAGCCTTTGTACACTTCCACTCACGTCACAAGAATCCGAGGAAATGATCATTTTACTAATGTTTCATCTTTATTTTTTGTTTCTTATAATTTAACTCGGCATATCATATATCAGTACGCCTTAAGCGGGGTCCTTTTTTTATTTTTATTAAAACGCGGGGTACTTAAACAAAGGACAATCACCGGAGACGTTATGGAAGGAATTTGTCATCTACAAATTAAACTCGATTTCAGTTAGAAATAGCAAAGAAACAAACCCCCATATAACTCATTTTGCCTCTTTCTTCATACCAAAACATAAGTTGTCTTTTCTTTTCTTTTTCTTTTTTTTTTCCTTTTCTTTTTTCACCTAATGCGCTATTAGGTTAATGAAGAAGCTGCCGGCTGGGGTAGTGGGGTTGTTTGGTTCCTATACAAAATTCATTTACGAAAATATTCCGTCCAAAATTTAGGTTGTTAGGACTTGGGAGTATTTGATCAATAAATTTTGTAACAGTACATGTAACCACCAAAGTAGTACTCCCTCCGTCCCATAATTATTGTCTAATTTTACTAAAATGAAAGATTTTATTTTTGGTCAAATTTAACTATATTTTACCTTAAACAACCACGGGCTTTTTCCCAAAAAAAATTAAATAAAATAAACGTGGACAAATTTAAATTTTTCAGAATATTTGTGGACAAAATTATATTGCTCGGATTTCTGAAATCCGAGTTTCGATTAAAATTAGAGATTCGGATTTTGCAAATCCGGATTCATACTTAATAATCAAATAATAATTTCATAAATTTTGTTGAATAATAGTTTTTTTAGTTCTTAAATGAACAGTAAAGCTCGGATTTGTAACATCCGAGTTTAGTTAAAAATTAATAAATCGCGGCGCGAAATTTTTGAATCCAAAAAACCGGAAGTCTGTAATCCGGTTTGACGAATTCGGATTTGCGAAATCCGGATGCCTTTAATTTTGGTTGGTGGAAGTAGGCATGTGCCTTAAATTGGAGGACCAAAAAATTAATAAAATAATCCTGAATTGACTAAATCCGGATTTAGGAAATCCGAATCTAACGTAGTTCGGATTTCGAAAATCCGAGTTACTTATGGACTCGGATTTCGTAAATCCGAGTTTAACGTGCTATAAAAGAAAAAAAATTTCAGGCAGTTCTCATTCGAGAACTGAGTTGGATTTTCTGTTTTTGCAGCTCAAACAAGGGCGAATTGAAGTTTTTGATGCATTCTTGCCTCTAGATACGTGGAAATCGTTATTTGAAAGAGGTTAGATTGCAAAACCATGTTATTTAGTTTATTTTTGTGTTATTTTGATTGCTAGAATGATGTATGATAGATTAGGGTTTATGTTGGTTGGTTGTTTGGATGTTTTACGTGTTGATTTTGAGGTTAGAGATGAGAAATCATAGTTGTTCATGAGATATCGAAGTTGATTTATAAGTATTTTAGTATGGTGTATTTGTTGGAGTATGTATGGTGTATGGTGTATGGTGTATGGTGTATTTTAGAGAATGTATGGTGTATTTTGTTGATTTTGTTATTAAGAAATGATTAGTTATTGATGTTTTTTTTAACAGTTATCAATGGCACGTAATGTATCATACATGCTTAATTTGTATCATACAAGTAAGTATGTGATAGAGAACGGTAGCATCAACACTTTTTCGAATATGCCGGATGATGGTTTGTTTGTCGAAGAAAGGTTGTCATATAAGGGATTGATTAGTAAGATTTGTATGATGGTTGGGATCCAGCACACGTGAAACTCCACCTTTCTTTGATTTTCGATAGTCCCGGTGGTAGGCGTGTAGTGAAGATCAAGAATGATTCGCATGTAGAGTTCATGAACCGTGTAGATCCGATGTCATGTTTGGATTTATACATAGATTTGGAAGATATCACTCAAGAAGAAAGAGAAGCGAGTTTGGAAAACGTGTCATTTGGTGATTTTCGAAGGGGGGAACGTGCTAGTACTTCTCAAAACCGTGATGAAGAGGAGACACCTTTATTTGCACAAAATGACTACCGGGAAGAGTCGGATTCCGACTACATAGCTCAGTGAAAGCGAAGAAGACTGTGATGTCTCCGGAGAGAGTGATTTTGAAGAAAGTGATGATGAAAGGTTGGAAAATGAGGAAAGGGATTGTAATCTATTCGCCGACGCCATGTATATAGTAAGATGGGGAAGCTGGGATGCCTCATGTGTAGACAAGGATGAGTTTGCTCTTAAGATGTGGGATGAGACGCCCGAAGGAATGGACATTGGTGTTTGTTTCAAATCTCAATCGAAGCAAAGCATCTTTGTGAAATTATGGAATATCCATCATAAAAGGGAATATACGGTTGCCGCGAGTAGTCCAAGGACGTGGGGCATGCGGTGCAGAACATTTAATGTGGAAAGTGAGGATGGTGAACCACCATGTGAGTGGAAGATGCGTGTGTCATTGAAAGCTCACGGCCTTCATGAAATTGTGAGATGGCATGATGCACATAATTGCATGACTCCTGTGAATGATAATGACAATCGGTGTGTGGACGCGTCTTTGATTGCTAGACTCATCAGGAGAAAGGTTGAGGACAACGTAGATTATACGGTAGCCTCGACACAGAAAGATGTGAAGACCTTATTGAAAGTAGATGTGCCATACAAAAGGGCGTGGCACGGGAGGAAGAAAGCCATAGAAGCGGTCTATGGTGATTGGACCTCGAATTTCGAAGAACTTCCACGGTAAATATCAACTTTTATCCGTGTATTGAAATATTTATAGTATTTTTATTTTTACATGTATTGAAATATTTTAACAATGACTTGTTGTTGTTTAGGTATATCGTTGCGCTTAAGTTTACTAATCCTGAGACTGTAGTAGAGTGGGAATGGAAGGAGGGACAAGAAGGTTGGAACAGGGGAAACCGGACATTTAAATACGTCTTCTGGTCATTTGCACCGGTGGCTGAGACGTTTTTTGAATGTCCACCGGTCATTTGTATCGATGGAACCTTTTTGCGTGGTGGATACAAGGGTAAATTGCTTGTTGCGGTGGTGTATATCGCAAACAAGCACATTTTACCGGTTGCATTTGCGATTGTTGATGAGGAGATAGTAGAGAGTTGGACATTTTTTATGAGGAATTTGAGTTTGTGGGTTGTGTATGATAGAATCATAAGTGTGATATCCGACCGGAATGCAGGGTTGTTGAGCGCAATGTCACAGATGGATGAATGGCGTGATCTAGGTGATGGTGGGCACTTTCTTTGCCTCCGCCACGTTCACAGCAATCTTGTGTCGCGATATAATAGCAAAAAGGTGAAGCGGTTATGTTAGAAGATGGGCACGACGCTTTCAAAAGTGAAATACAACCGTATGAGGGCAGAGCTTATTGAATTCAAACCTGCTGCATGGGAGTATCTTCGAGGGATTGGGGGGAGTAACTGGGCTCGATTGAAAGCCGGTCTTCGCCGTTGGGGCATAGCGACAACCAACATTTCTGAGAGTTACAACAATGCGTTGAAATGGATCCGTTTTTTACCAATTAGAGCCTTGATCGATGCAACCTTTCGCAAAACTGTTAAATTCTATAGAGAAGAACAATTGTCTGCGAGAAATTGCATGACACCGATCCCTCCTGAGTTATGGAAAAAATACGAGAAAATGAATGATAAAGCAGCCAGTTTTGAAGCCACCCCTTTCGATAGTGATGATGCTATGTGGCGTGTTGTTACTGCCACACGCCTAAGTGGCAGGGTGGGTCTCTGCATACGGTGAACTACGATGAACATAGGTGTTCGTGCAGGAAGTGGCAAGAGTACCGGATGCCTTGTACGCACGCACTCCAAGTTTGTCGGAGAAAAGGGGATCGGCCTATTGATCTATACCATAGTGTGTGGTGCCTTCCAACGTGGCGCAGACAATTTCATTACACGGGTTTTGTTCCGGTTCCCGATGAGGAACAATGGCCGATGGTCAATTGGAACATCATTCCGAATTATGAGCGTCTTGTGTTGCATGCGGGACCGGGACGAAGACAAAAAAGGAGACATAGAATGCAAATGGATTACAGGGGACGCCGGAGCCGGGGGGAATGTTGGAGATGTGGACAACTAGGTCATGGTGCCAATTCTTGTCCGTTCTCGCACCCAGGAGTAGATAAAAGACCTGTGAATGACAGTTGGAATTGAGTGTAATTTATTGTTCTTGCAAGTTATTTAGTGTTTGATAAATTTATGTGAACATTGATAAATTCGGATTGTAATGTGAACATTGAATTTTTCGGATTGTAAAGTGTGATGAAATATGTACTATTTTTCATAACAGTACATCGGATTGTGCAAAATACTCATCATTGTAAGGTTTTGTGAGGGATTCGGATTTCAGAAATCCGAGCTTAGAGTTTTTTTTTGAAATTGCAAAGGACTCGGATGTCCGAAATCCGAATGGGTGAAACCCATCCGAGAGTTGCAATTTGAGGAGAAACAGGGGAGATTCGGATTTTATAAATCCGAGCTCAGAGATTTCCTTGAATTTGCAAAGGACTCGGATTTAGGAAATCCGTGTTTGTGAAAAGCATCCGAGAGTTGAAATTTGAGGAGAAACAGGGGAAATTCGGATTTTATAAATCCGAGCTCAGAGATTTTCTCGAATTTACTAAGGACTCGGATTTAGGAAATCCGTGTTTGTGAAAAGCATCCGAGAGTTGAAATTTGAGAAGAAACAGTACTAACTCGGATTTCGCGAATCCGAACTCAGAGTTTATTTTTAATTTGCAAAGGACTCGGATTTCAGAAATTCGTGTTTGTGAAACCATCCGAGAGTTGAAATTTGAGGGAAACAGGGAAGACTCGGATTTAGCAAATCCGAGTTTGACGGGACTATATATTGTTCGGTCAACTCTTCCCTTCTCATTTTTCCCCCAATTCCAGAATTAACAAAACCCTAAAACTAAACTCTAATTAAACAAAAATCCGGCGACTCCCACCACTCAATCCGGCGACTCCCTCCACTCCCTCCGTGATTTCCGGCGACCCTCTTCCATTCCGGCGACTCAATTTCCAGATTCCGGCGTCTCTCCTCCCTCTGGACAATCCGGCGTCTCTCCTCCCTCTGGATAATCCGGCGAGGTTCCTTGCAATCCGGCGACTCCCTCGACTATCTCCACCTCCGGCGACTTCCTCCACTCCTCCCGACTTCCTCCATTCCTTACTGTAAGTTATTGATTCGCGATCCTCTCTTTATTTTTTTTTGTCAAAATTTTTTTTTTCTTTGTGAAATCCGAGTCCTTTTTTTTTTTTGGATTGTGGTTGGTTTGTGTTGATATAGTGTTTGTGTTGAATTTAAGTGGTGCGTATTGTGAATTGCTTATAGATGTGGTGTTGATATAGTGTTTGTGTTGGATTATTGTTGTGTAAATAGTGAATTATGAATGTATATAGTAGTTTGGTAGTTTTTTTTATTTGGCCGAATGTTTATGGTTTGGTTGATTTGTTTTTTTGGCCGAGTGTACATCGTTTGGTAGTTTTATTATTTGGCCGAATGTATATGGTTTGGTAGTCTTGTTTATTTGGCCGAATGTTTATGGTTTGCTAGTATTGTTTATTTGGCTGAATGTTTATGGTTTGGTTGATTTGTTTTTTTTTGGTTACCTTGTGTAGGATTGAAATGGCGACGCCGGCATCGGGCTCCCAATATGACTATCAACCTAAACATCTTCACCCGGGACCCATACAAGATAAAATGCTATATCGTCAAACAAAGCATAGGTCCCAAGCTGTCTATGAGAACAGGATACCGGACATTAAGACATTTCGCCTCAAGGGCCGTAGGTACGACAGCGATTTTTGGGCGTTATATAAAAATACGGCATCGGAGGTTAAGGAAGTCATTAGGAGAGCCGGTTTTGAGGGGATCATGAAGGTAGGGTACAAAAGAGTTGATCTAGGCCTCATTACAGCGTTGGTGGAACGGTGGAGGCCAGAAACCCACACTTTCCATTTTAATTTCGGAGAGGCGACGGTGACGCTACAGGACGTCGAGGTCCTGTTTGGTATTCGGGTGGATGGTGACCCGGTGTACGGTACGACAGTTAGCCGGACTGCAGATGAATGGAGGGATCGATATGAGGCTTATTTGGGATTCCGGCCGGCGACTGTAAATGGCCAATGTGTCAATGTTGGTATTTTCGAAGATGAGATGGGCCGTGCACTACCTTCAAATTCCACTGTCCATCGATTCGAGCAAAGGACCAGGACACTTATACGGCATTTTATTAGCAGTTTCATGTTTCCGAACAAGACGCAGAACACTGTCAATCTACAGTTCTTGGCCCAGGTTGAGGATTTGGATCAGTGTAGTCGATACAGTTGGGGATCGGCATTGCTGGCTGGGTTGTACTCTGGCCTATGCGAGGAATCACAGTATACCATGCACGACGCCACCGGGTGTCTATATTTGCTACAGGTACGTATTAGTTTTCATTTTGTGCTTTAATTATTTTGCGCTTTCGACGTTATAATTTGAAGTTTCTACATTATTATTGCAATTTACTAGGTATGGGCGTATGAGCGGATCGAGAGGATCGCGCCCCAAAGAAAAGGAGTAGATTATTTGTTTGATGAGACCGCTCCATTAGCTCAGCGGTACGTATTTTCAGTTCAAAATAACTCAACGTTTAATTCTATTTGTTTCTTATTCAGTTATTTCACTAATTCAAATGTACCCCTTTGTTTATTAAGGTGGGAATGTAGGTACACGTACGGCGACGCCCCAAGGAGCAGCACTCCACCTTTTAGAGATCAATTAACAAGTCTGCGTGTTGAAGATGTAAGTACTTGTAATTTGGTATTTATATTTACTTTGAGATCAATTACCCCTTTCTTTTGGTTTCGATTGTACCATCTAATGAAATTTTTTTTGTGCAGTTTCGGTGGCAACCATATGCACATGTCCTCCATAGACTCCTTGATTTCTGTACACAAGGCCAAGCCATTTGGACGACTAGGTGTTGGATGTTCTGTTGGGCTATTAGGGAACCCCACGAGTCGGGCAGAGTCGTAAGACAATTTGGATACATACAGGATGTTCCCAAGCGCCCCATGATTAAAGATAACGCAGCATTCCTTCTCGATCACGCCCACAGTATGTCTGGGTATCCTAGCAATAATTGGGAGGATCACCATTCCGCAGTACGCCGTTATTGGAATAGGAGAGAAGAGTTCGTGCTACGAGATTTGGAGGAAGGAGATCCTGGTTCCGTATATGAGGGGGTACTATGAATGGTTCATGGTGAACACTGTCAGATTGATATCCAATCCCGGGTAATTATGAACCTCAAGGATACGAGACTTCTTCGAGCCGCGTGAAATTGTATGTGAGTTAATTGTAGATTTCTTTTATTATTTCTTATGTTTCCATTTTTTTTTTCATTTTTTTTTTAGAATTTTACTCTCTTAATTAACGTCCCAATTTCTTTTCAGGGTGAAGTAACAACATTCGCGTGAGTACCGAGAGGTTTAGAGAAAAACGAGAAGATGATAATCTCCTAGACGAAGAACTTGACAAGCATTTGGACGATATCATCAATCAAACACATGCTGCTTTAACCTTGGGCGCAAATGATGAGATGGAGGTGGATGATACCCAAATCCTGGTTGATGAAGATCCATTTTTGCCCTCACAACCTCCGCCGGGTAAAAAAGCGAAACCGTGGTCAAGAGATAAGATTGGAGGAGGAAGAAAGAGAAAGGTCACAATCCCCCCTCGGACATCGCAACAACAAACTGAGGGTCAACAAAATAAGGATCAAGCACATTCCTCTCGAGGCTCGCGCATCCAGGTCGAGACTCATTTTGAAGAAGCTGGTGGACCCGAGACTCAGTTTGACATTGGTGGACCCGAGACTCAGTTTGACATTGGTGGACACGAGACTCGGTTTGGTGGACGATCGCAACCACAACCGGAGTCAAATTTATCATTATGGGGAGTCCCAATCTCAACCCCAAATCGAGGCTCGGTTTGGTGGACATCGCAACCACACCAAAGTTCAATACTCACATATCTTAAGAGGAGAGACGAGATCCGACGGGGCCCAAACAAATACACTCGGATGCGCACAATAAAGGAAAAGGAAAAAATGAGACATTTCATTATTTTGGACATTTATAGTAGTTTTTGTATTGAACTTTTTATGAAACTTGATTTATTTTGTTGTTAATCGAATGCCGTTTATTGTTTTGTTGTTATTAAATTCCTATTTTCCAATGTTTCATTGTTGTTGGTCTTGTAAACATGTTTAGGACTGGTGAAAATCAGTCAATTTTTTTCAGTTCGACAAAAACTCGGATTTGCGAAATCCAACCAGACTTTTTGTAAAGGATTCGGATTTGGAAATCCGAGTCCGTGGCCAACTGGAGTCACCATTTTTCGAAAAGAGCGATTCGGATTTTGTAATCCGAGTTACGCCCAAATTTAATTTTTCAACACATTATTTTTTCTCTATCCGGAAATTAATATTTTATTCATAAAAACGGATTTATAAAATCCGGATTTAGATTAATTACACTAATTTTTGTCATTAACTTAATATCGGATTTACGTAACAAAAAATTCGGATTTTAATAATCCGAGTTGAGTAGGGGTCGGATTTCCGAAATCCGAGTTTTCTCCCCATTCGGATTTCCTAAATCCGGGGCATATAAATTTGTCCACAAGATTTTAAAAAGCTTTATTTTTGTCCAGGTTTTTTTTTCATATATATTTAAGGAAAAAATTCAAACAACCAAATATACCCTATATAAGTAATTGTTTAACCACTAAAATTTTATGGATAATGTTTTTTCCTAAGGACAAATGTGTAACTTGATCCATAAAAAGTCAAATTGGACAATAATTTTGGGACAAAATTTTTTGGACAAAGTGGCCAATAATTATGGGACGGAGAGAGTATCTAATAAAGCTAACAACGGATTAGGTAGAAAAGCCAAAAAAGAACAAAGAAAATGGTAGGAATACTCGATCAACACTGTGTAGCACTAGAAGTGTAACAACCCACCCAAACTTAAAAAAAAATAAAAAATGCCCAAATAGGTGTTATCACGTCACTGGAATTGCGAGACTTCTGAACTGGTGGAGGGCACCATAGCTGCTTATAAATCTACCTTCTGAATCTTCGGACAAGGGCACCAGTATTTTCGTTAAGGGTCAACGCATTTTGAGCCTGCCAAGTCTTTCAGGTATATATATATATATATATATATATATATATATGTATATATATATATATTTTTTTTCTTTAGTTTTCAGTGTAATATTTTTACGTTTTTGTGGGTGTCGCTGGTTCATCATAAATTTCCTTTTTTCATATTCACACTTTGTTGCAGAACACAATGGACAGAGAGCAAGAGAGATTAGAGCAGGCCATGGTATATGTAGATACATGCTTAGCAGTGGACAACATCGTCCAGATCTTCGTGGACGACTTCAAATACAAACTGGACCCTAATGTAAGCCACAATGTTTCAAAACTGGACACAGAACGGCTGGCCCTGATGAACGGTATCCTTAAGAATGATGATGGAATGGACATGTACAACCAGATTAGAGGAATTCTTCGAGAAGCTGAGGAGATCGTCAACACTTACGTACTTCAGGCCGCCGCGTCCAAGGTTTATAACCAGTTCACCGGTTTTGTGGTGTCTCCGGATGTGGTAAGACGGTATGAAGAAGTTCTTCTCAAAGTTAAGAAAACTAAGGAGGACTTGTTGAAGAATGGATCTGATAAATACATTAACACAAAGTGGGAGAAAGGTAAACACTTGGGAAGTGGTTCATTTGGATCAGTGTTTGAAGCGCTTTCTGAGTAAGTTCATTCTAATTCCCCGTTTATATTTATATCCGATTGTTAAACACATTTGCACTTACGCTAGTAGAGAACTGAGCTTAAACAAAATTCGTGCTTCTAAGACTTACATATGATTACCAAGTTGTTTCTTTCCTCTCCATCCTAAGGATACTCGGATAACCAAGGAAACGCTTTGAATGTTCCATTTTCTTGTGCTCCATTTCTGGATTTGTACCTGCCATCCTTGTACTCTTCTAGCTCAGCCTTAGCGAGATTCCTTCACCATGCGCTTGGGAGCTGGAATTCAGCATTTGCTGGACATTTTAATCCATTTTGCTGCTTTATATGCGAAATCCTTGGAATCAATAGGTTATACATGTCTCCATACATTCCAATATGCTACAGGAACAACTCCTTTTTCTTTCCATGGAGGAAAAATCTAAATCATACGTAACATTCGTAATTGTTTTTGGTGCCTTTTTGTTATGATATATATGTTTCACCAGTTTCTCTTGGTTTTGTTATTGCATACTTCCTCTGTTATAAAATGATTATTCATTTAGATTTTCACTTTTAGTTCAAATTGCGTATGTACACTAGCTACAAATTAACATTTGAACTGGAGAATCATTTCGCGACACAGAGCAAGTAGTATTTCTTTCTTTGTTATTTTAATCCTTAGACCTTGTCAAGGCCATAAGTATGCATTTATTGGAAATATTGAGCAGATTAGGATTACATCATTTCTACAGCACCTCAATATCACCTCTTTTTGGTGTGTGCGCGCTTGTTTCGTGAATATGCTTTCCGTCGCACTTTGAAGAATGAACTCATTATTGCAATTTCCCTTGAAATGAAAATTTTGCTCGTGTTCTTAAATATGAAATGTATCTTTCTCCAGCCAGGGGTTCTTTTTCGCGGTAAAAGAAGTATCTTTTCTTGATCAAGGGGAAAAAGGAAGAAAGAAAATTAGCCTACTGGAAAAGGTATATTCCCAGACTTACTAGCTAATCCCCTGTTCACAACTAGATGTGTCCCGAGTTCAGTTTGAGTTAATGGTCCGGTTAATTCATCAGCTCGTTATTATTTATTTATTTATTTTTATTGTGCAGGAAATTGCTCTTTTGAGCCGGTTTAAACATGAGAACATAGTGCGGTATCTTGGCTCCCAAAAAGTACTGCTTCTTTGGTTGATATTGCTTCCTATGTTTCTTTACAACATTTGCTTAATACTCCCTCCAACCTTAATTATTATAAGATATTTTGATTTATTTTAAATTTTATTTAGTATGTTCTTCTAATTAAAACATATTTTCACTTTTAGTGTATTTTTTCAATTATTATAAGATATTTTTAAGGTTTTATTTTCAACTAAAAGAATATATCTAAACAAACTTTGAACAAACCAAATGGTTTACAATAAGGACCGGGGGAGAAATTAAGGTGGCCAAAGCTTGGTGCACACAGTTTGTAGTTTAAATTTCAATTTTAATTTATGGCACTAATACTGTTTATATAGTTTAATCCTCTAAATGTTGTAGGGAACAGTGAAATGCGATGCTTTTGACATCCTGTTCAACTTCAGTTCGTACTTTATGATGCCTTGTGGTTTTGTGCCTGAAATCTCTCATAGTGTGGTTGACGTTTGTTCAGGATGAACAGAATCTTTACATCTTTCTTGAGCATATGCCTAAAGGATCGCTTAAGAGTATTTACAAGGACTACGAGCTTCAAAACTCGCAAGTCTCTACCTACGCAAGACAAGTTGTACAGGGGTTGAAATATATTCATGATAAGGGCGTTATTCATGGGTAATAGCTCGATCTCCGTCGCATCTTTTTCTCAAAACATCTTTTTATACATCGCGATACTGCAAGTTGAGCTTTAAGGATTTCTAGTGAGTAAAGTTATCTTCAACTTAATCGTGGTTTCAGAACTGTAAATATCCTTTTGTTCTTCCCTGGTTTACAACCCATGGCTACGCACAATAAACTTCTTGGCTTAATGAATACACCCCTTAGTATAAGTCAGGGTGCATAAAAATGGAGAATACACAACCTTATAACCATATTCTTGTCTTCATAAAAAGAGTCTTTTAAAGTGTTGTACCACAGAAAAATAATACTACCTCTTTCTCTTCTCCTTCTTCTTCATCTGTCAAATTAGGGTAGATTCAACAAATCTTTTCAATTGTCGCACTTTATTTCCAGTGCAGTGTTAACTACAATTTTTCCAGTTCGCTTTTATACCCTAGTGCACCAGTTAAAAAGAAAAAGACCGAGGTAGTCAGTTGTTTAGACGTACGGATCGATGGACTATCACTTTTCCATCATGAGAAGGGTTGAAATCACCCCTGAAATGAACAAAATTCTCTTCATCATTTATTTCTGGATATAAATGATATTGCATTTGTTTTAGTATGTAAATATGAGCATATTTTATAAACTACAAATATTGGGTAGACAGAGTTTCTACCTCGTTGATAGAATATTCAAGCTTTGTACGTAGGCGACTCTCTGATTTGTTTGAAACTCAATGGCATCCTTTCTAGGGACATCAAATGCGACAATATACTGGTAGATGTATATGGATGTGCAAAACTCGCTGATTTTGGTCTTGCGAAGGTCACGGCCTCTTTTTCCTTCTTGTTTTTTTCCATTGCTGGTAATAATTTTATATCGCTGTATTTTTAATAGTGTGGTGGTTTTAACTTAGCAGTTCACTGAACTAAATGATGGCAACTTTCGCACGGGAACTCCACGTTGGATGGCTCCTGAGGTTTGTATATCATATCCTTACTCTTTAACAATCCATCACATCTGAAATGAAATTTTCATCGGTTTATGTTTCTTTTATTACTTTAGGTAGATGGTTCGCTCATTGTTTGATGATGTACTAGCGTGCGTGTATTTAACATAGTGACTTTACTCGCATGATTTGATGCTTTTCAAGCTAATTTAAGCTATTTTAGGTGAATGGTAACTTTTTTGAATGGTGAGGACTTTTGCTCATCTGGTCAAGATCGACTTAATTTTCAGAAATGCTTGTATGGCCAACCTGTTAAACAGAAAGAATTTTAATGTTATGGCATTTTCATGCATAATGTTATGACATTTTCATTTATTGTGTTGCAAATTGTAATTTATACACTTTTGATAAGTACTATTTCTTATACTTTATAAATTGTTCATAAAAAATGTTATAATCTACCCCGTACATTGTGCGGGCATAACATCTAGTTACATATAACATTATAAACAATTCTTTCAATCGTACCTTCTCTTGTGATTGACACATGGCATATCCACATAATTATACACGTCATCAAATTATTTTATTCAATCTCTACATAACTAAATGTTGTAAAAGTAAAACATTTTAAAAATACATTGGTGTTCTGATATATTCATAAGGAGTACAGTATTTGTACAATCACGTCTTAATTATCTATTCAAATTAGAAGTTTCTCCAAAGTAATGATATCTCATATGAGTAGATTAATTTTCTTATATGTCATGCAAACTATTTTATAGCCATACATATACATATATATATATATATATATATATATATATATATATATTGGTTTATTATACACCTGGTGCCCGAAGTTACTACTCTGACTAATAGTTCACATACATATTACATTTGATAAACCTCTTGTCTGAAAAAGAAAGAAAGAAGAGAGAGTTGAAGAAGAAGAAAAAGAAAAAGAATTAAATTAGTTATTATAGTTATCTTTTTTAGGCAATAAAAATCAAAATTTTTGTTTTGGGATTTCCTTTGTCCTACGTTCTTGATATTAAGGTTGACCTATTTTGATTTTTGAACCTACATGATAGATTTTCTCATGAATTTGAACCTAGAAAACTGGTGGAAAGATCTTTTCTATGTTGGCATGCCTAGTTTGGTACTTAAATACCAATCTTAACTGGGGTACTAGTTAACTTATTTCATGTAATCTGCATCTTTTGGAGGAGTCTTCAACATTTCAGCTTGCTTATTGATCGGTGGTGATTAATCTTTTCTTCAAAATTTCAGGTTGTTAAAAACCAAGGAAATGTTCTAGCATCTGACATATGGAGCCTTGGTTGCACTGTGTTGGAGATGTTAACTCGTGAGTATCCGTACGCAGATGTAAAGGATTGTGTAAGTCTGATACTTCCTCCGTCCCAAAATTATTATCCATTTTAGATAAATTATTGTCCAGTTTAGATTTTCACATTTAATTCAATTTGTATTAAAATTTAAAATATAAACTAGACAATAATTTCAGGACTAAGGGAGTTATACATTTCTAACAATCACTCATGTTGTACCTTATATTTCCGGTGTCCAATTTTAATAGTTCATTTTTTTGGAACTAAGAAAACACCATTAATTGAGAATTTGGGATCCTCACGACAAGCAGTGAATAACCAATCCAGGCAAACTATATATGGATGTTCAGAGGAAACTACTTTTATTTCAGCCGGAACCCACTCCTAGTTCATAATTTCCACTATCAAGACCAAGTTTTCTTCATTGGCTGTATAATTTATTTTGCTGTTGTTGTGTGATTGTCATAATTTATGTTAAGAACTTCGGAAATAAACATGAACAGGAGCTGCTCTTCCGCAAGATAATAGGCGGTGAACTACCAGGTACTCCTGAGAATCTCTCTTCGGATGCAAAGGATTTTATTGTCAAATGCCTACAATATGACCCAAATGCGCGGCCAGATGCGGCTAAACTCTTGGAACATCCATTTGTAAACAAACCACCTTCTTCCGAATCTCGGTAAAATATCCCAACATTATCCCAACATCCCTACCTCATCAATACTCATTTTCAAGCATATACTTCCGTTGGTCCTGAAATGATTTATAGAATTTTCAATTTTAGTACAATTTGTACTAAAAATAAATATTCATGTCGGGACAGAAGGAATACATCATTCCAAAACCCTGTTTAATTTGTTGTGCTGGAAATGCATTGTATTACTTGACTGCTCTCATTTCTTGTTCTTCCTTCTCCTGTCTTTTTTTTTTTTTTGGTTGACAGTTTCAGTGGGAGTTCTTCATCTTCGGCAATGGCCCATGGGGTTTGAGTTTGAATGCTATGAATCAAAGAATTTGCTTATTGGTGCGGAGACTTTTCTATATTTGCAACTTCATTAAAGTTAATGTCAAAATAATCCAGATTGTTTTACTGCAAATTAATTTGTGTGTCATGTCGAAGCACATTCCAAGTTGTCTAATATCATTCCAACGGGTTTAGAGCCCCGAACTAGAAATCATGATGAATCAATAACTTTCAGACTATGACTCCACATTTGATATTGGAAGGAAGTGTTGGACTAACTGTACCAACATAATTCCTTCTTTTTTCTCTCTTTTTTTTTTTATTTCGCCTTTGAGAAAATATGAGTCCTTCTTGCTATAGAAAGAGCGATGAGTAATAATTTGATTAGCGCAAGACTTCCGATGGATGGATTTTCATTAAAAGTAGGGTGCGTACTTTTTAAAATTCACAAATAAGTTGACCATGCTTGGAATTGTGCCTCCAGTCTGGCTGTGGAACTCCGGTTAGGGTTTCCTGCAAAACAGAGCCTCGGGGCCTCCCGATGGTAGACACTTAAGTTAGAAAATAGGGTTGCGAAATAGTCTGTGTATGTGAATTGGTACCAAAGATAGTGTACCTCAATTGTGGTGAGACCAATCCTATTTATAGGCATGGAATTACCTCTAGGGAAGTCGAATCCCATTAGGATGCATATTCCCGAACCGCCTCTAGAAGATCGGTTAAGCCTTAATTGGTGGATGGGCCGGTCAAGTAATCCTTGGTAGATATGGACTCGTCAAGTGCCCATGTCAAGTGTTAATTGTATGAAATAAAAAAGACTTGACACAAAATAAATAATACCTGGACTCGACCCAATTTGTATGAAGCAAGACTGACTGGACAAGTCTCAGCCCAATGGGTACAAAATGGATCAAATGAATTATTCGCGGGTCAAGGTCCAAACCGAGAAAGCGATCCGATTCAGAAATCCCGCCTAAACTGAAATCGTGCCCCGATAATGTGCACATTTTCCAAACGACGGACGTGCCATCATTACTGCCCTTGAATCCCGCCCAAACTGTCGAAACATGGGAGAGAAATTTGCTTATATCGAGAAGGAAACCAAGGGCTTTTCTTTCTTCTCTTTTTTTCAAAAACTCTGAGTCTAAAAATACAGAAGCACCTCTCCTGCCCCTACGCATCATCTGTTGCTACTTAATCGCTTGTTTTGTTGCCGAAAATTGCAGCACCTGATATAACTGAGAAGACCCATTCATCCTAGGCGAATATCATCCAAAAGGTCAACCTCAAATTCTAATAAAAGTGAGTCTTTCAACCCTCTTGTTATTAGTGTATACTGTTGTTTTTATTTTTCCTGAATCTTATTGCCTTAGCATATATTGTGGTAGATATAGCTGCACGTACAGTTTTTGACTTCACTTCCACCATAAACTCTGTCGATAAAGCCTAGGTCATAGCCAGAAAATACGATTTTCCCGTAAATGTAGATTATCGAGCACCTTTAGGCATAGAAAGGGCTACTACACCTCCAGAGGGGAAAATGACCGTATATGATAGGTTTATGTTCTTAGGGCTAAGATTTCCCCTGTACCCTCTATTCGGAAAAATAGTTCAATATTACCAGATTCTCCTTGCTCGATTTACATCGAACTTGATATCGGCAGTCCTCGGATTTGCGAGGCTTTGTGAGTTGAAGAAGGTTGAACCTCGATTATTAGTGTGGAGGTATTTTTTCAAAGTTTGTGTTCCCTCGACGAAATACAAGGACTGGTATAACGTTAAGAAGAATCTCACGTCGGGCGCGAAGCAGATAATAGAACTCTTTGGCGGTTCTCCAATGTGGAAACCAAATTACTTGTTTGTACAGACTCCAGAGAAGTTTCGCGTGACCTGGGATCACCGTGAATCCTAGGAGATGGGCGTTATACCTGATGTCTGGTCTAAATCCGACAAGGCCAGGATCGAGCGACATAGGGATGACATTACTGCTCTAGAATCCTTCGAGAATTATCTCAACTGGGCAAAAGTGTAGCAGTATATTCCCCCAATCCATGTTGTGGATAAAAAAGGTACTAACTTCTCTTGTGTATTCTTCGTGGTCTAGGCTATTTTGTCGACCAAGAACACCGTTAGCTTGTTTGGTGAGCCAAGATTTTTGATATTAAAAATTCAGATGACGAAGGATCTTCCACCGAAGTCAGCAGGAAGAGGAAGCTAAGAAGGTTGGTAAAAGCGTCCGAAGCAGGCGCTAAGTCGAAGAAGAAGAAGAAGCAGACTCCAGCAGTCGAGAAGAAAGGACCAACCGAGGATGCTACTCTGATCAAGGAAGATAGGCCCGTCGAGGACAACATTCCTCTCGAGGAAAACAGGCCCGTCGAGGAGGGTGCTCCCGTCGAGGGGGATAGGACTATCGAGAGCAGTGTGCCCCCGGAGAAAAGTGGGAACCCAAACACAGGGCGAGACCCCAGCTGTTTGACAACTACAGCGCCGTCGCTGTCTCGTAGGAAGGATGCCGTTGAGAATCCAGACGCTTTTCCCGGGTCATCGTCCTACACTGTAGCCGCTGCCATACTTCACTTTGGGGATGACAAAATTGAATGCCCCATAATCGAAGAAGTGGCTGAAGCAATGACGGATGAGGAAGCCTTGAAGATGGTAAATGTTGCCTTCACACATGCCTTTTACATTCCTTGCTTATAACTGGTGTCTCGAGTTACGCTGATCTTTTGTTTGCAATCTTGACAGTTAACCACCTCTCTGGCGAGCATTCTCATGCGCAAGAAGAAGCTGAGGTAGGAGATCTCCAGCCTGGAGCTCAAGTAGGGGTTCCTTGAGTATGAGAAGGCGATTTACGAGGAAACAAGGAAGAAGGAACAGCTAATTCGAGCTGCTAAGGAGGAAGAGTTAGCCACGGCCCAAGCTATGCATAGGGATCTCGAGGCCAAGCTGAAAGAATATGGGGAAACCCATATCCCCTAGGCGGAATTGTAGGAATGGATGACTGCCTTTTGGACCAGGATGATGCCTACTGGAGGAATGGCCAACGTCACGGTGGGCATCAATGAGGCGGCTATCGCGTTGGGTGCTCATGGCGTGGCCGTTGCTGCTTTGGAGAGAATGGAATCGGGGAAACCTGTCAATGCCGGCTGGGTGCAACAATTCGTGAGGCCTCACCCTCAAAAGGCCCTTCACGAAGCAATGCAGAATGGATTGTTGCATCTGTCCACCGAGAAGCTCCCATTGTTCGGGCCGCTATGTAGCGCCATCCCCCAAATGGGTTTACCTTCGGAGATCACCGCCTTCAAAGGAGATGCCCCAACAATGCTACCTGCTGAACCTGGGGAAAAGATGCGAGTACCAGAGCTTGACCGAGATTTTAAGGGTGACGAGCTTGTCTCCGATGAAGACTCCTCGGAGAGGGTCGAGGAAGAAGAGATGAGGGCCAGGAGCCTGAAGTCGAGAAGGATCCGTTCGGCGAGAAGGAAGTGCCCCCGACAGAGAATCCTGCAGAGGAAAACAGCGAGAGCCAACCAAATGTCCCGCCTGACCCAAACACTGTATGAAGCCCTAATCTTGTAACAAGGTTTTTGCTACTTGGGTTGTAAACCTTAACTTCCTGTAGTGTTTTGTGAATGGACTTTATTAATTTGGGATTTATGGAGTACCTTTTCCTCTTTTTCCTTTTTTCATTTCTAATGCATCCTTGCTGATTATGCCTGGAGCCATATTATGTCCACAATGTGCACCTGATGATCCTTGAGTAAGAAGAGATCAGACAGTTCCCTATGTATGCCATGATTTCGTCGGCATTAAGAAAATTCGGGAACGTCCACAATACTTCCATAGTGGGAGCACTCGAGAAAGAGACTGTGGATGCTGTTCAAGCTTATAACGTGCAGATACATTCTCGCTTGGTTCAACGTTTTAAGCAGAAGGAGGAGGAGTGAAGACGTCTACTCCATCAGTATGACCACGACTTCCAGGACTCCCTGATTCTAGAGGCGAATATCAACGACGAGATGAAAAAGCTGAAGGACGAAAATGCTCGACTGAGGAAGCGAGAGAAGATCACGGTATTTCCGTGGTTCCTCGAGAAATTTGATGATGCTTGGAATTGCACCTCCGGTTTGGCGGCGAAACTCCGGTTAGGGTTTCCAGCAAAACAAAGCCTCGGGACCTCCCGAGGGTAGACACTCCGAAGCTTAAGTCAGAAAATAGAGTTGTGAAATAGTCTATGTATGTGAATTGGTGCCAAAAATAGCGTACCTCAGTTGTGGTGGGACCAATCCTATTTATAGGCATGGAATTACCTCCAGGGAAGTCGAATCCCATTAGGATGAATATTCCCGAACCGCCACAAGGTCGGTTAAGCCCTAACTGGTGGATGGGCCGGTCCAATAATCCTTGGTGGATATGGATTCGTCAGAAGTGTTCCTTCCATGACCATGTAAGATGATGGAGGCTAGCTTGAAGCGTTTGGATAGTATAAATTTTAAGTTAATTAAAGATATTTTTGTTTTAACAAAATTAGCGCCTGTTTAAAATAGAAAAAAACAGCAAACAAAAAACACAAAGATGGTAACAATAAATCAAATTTTTTTTTATTAACCTACAAAAGATGTAGAATGAAGACTTCATGGAAACAAGAGACATTTCTAAGGAAATTTTGTTATAACACAAACGATAAGCCTAAGGAAAGTGTCAAAATATTTGTAGCAATATATTTCTCGAGGGCCAAAAAAAGGCTACTGTTTGAAAAATGAAGGAATTGTTTTGTAATGTTTGATGAATGTTGCTTATTTCGTTTACCCCCCACCCCAAAAAAAATGCTAAACGCTAATTTCATACAGAGAATCCACAATTTCTTTTTTTTAAAAAAAAGAAATTTTAAAAAAATTCATGCTTCACTAACTTTGTGTTTATAGGTAATAAAAGATAATCTCATGTTTCATCGGGGTTGTACCATTGGAAGTTGAATGATGTTAGCGAGGAAAAAAAAAAACCAAATAAAACCAAAATTTTTTTGGTTAATAAATTGCAGAAGTAAAGACTCCATAAACAAGGTTCACAACTTTCTATAATCTGCTAAATCTGATATCTAAAGGTGTTTTGTTGTTTTAATAACATAAGTATTTTAATCATTTTTTACTGAACTAGATATGTATGCATTGCGATGACGATTATTTTTCTTAATTTGAATGGAAGAAATAGTAATACAATCTCAATTTTTTTTCCCTTTTTACAAATACTTTAATCATTGCCAGTAACTCAAATTAGAATTAAGCAACCGTAAATCCACATTGATGGTAAGGAATAGAAGAATATTGGCTCAAGGAAAATATTGTGATTTTTGGACAAAAAAATAATCTGGACAGTGACACATTCGTTATTAAAAAAAAAAGAAAAACTGAAAAGAAAAGAAGTTTCTGATTCTTCTTGGATCATCATAGATTCAGAAACCCAATTCCATTTTCTTTTGGGGAAGAAGTTGAGCTAAGATTAAGCGCGGAAGCTCAACTATAGATAATCTTCTGGTTGCTGCTCAACGAAGGACTTGTTTAATCATTATCATCATCATGGCATCGACCCGACGGCCCTCAGATTGTAGAAACTGTTGGCAAAAATTGGCACGCCGGCGGTGATTCTGGAGTACCATTTACCTGAAATTGAAGCTACCTGATGCCGGAAATCGAAGAAGAGCGTGTTGAATTTAAGAAAATAAAAAATGCGAAGTTGAAGAATCACTTTGATAAACTTAACTGCGCAGACTGGGTAAAAGGTCAACTTTTGGGATGCGGATCCAATGGATCTGTGTATGCGGGGGTCACTAGGTAGTATTTAATCCAGTTCAGTTCATCATTCTGATTCATTTACCCTTGTTTATTTCGAATCTAGGCCATTTTTTTTTAGGGTAGCAGAAGCAGAGAACTCAGCGTCATAAATAAATTGAAAGAGAATGTGCTTTAGGCATCATTGGGGAGATGGTCTATCTTTAGGCATATATAGTTGCCGAGAATAGTATAAAAGTTGAATATATTCCTTATTCTTCTGAAAGACACAAACCGCATGAGTTGAGCTAATCTCTTTGGTTTTTTCTTTCTGAATATGCGTTTTTTCTCCAGGGACGGATTATCTTTTGCGGCAAAAGAAGTATCTCTTGACGATGATCAAGGAGAGAAAACAAAGGAGAGTATTTGCCAACTGGAACAGGTGTGCCAATTGTTAGCTTTAATATTTTTGCTCTGTTCTAATTCTAAACAAAGATGTCTGCTTTTCCTCTCTAATAATGGTCCCTCCTCCTCAGAAATCATCTACTTGCAATTCTCTTTTTTGTGCAGGAAATTGCTCTTCTTAGCCAATTTGAACATGAGAACATCGTGCAGTACTATGGCACCCAAAAGGTTTTTTTTTTTTTTTGTGGGTATATTGTTTGTCGTCTCTCCCTGTATGATTAATACTATGGTGGGCATAAGCTTGGGGTTTTAGTTAAGGAAGTCATACTCATACAGTCATATTGTATGCATTAATCCATTCTGTATATATATGTTGTAGAGATCACTGAAACTTTGTGATGGCTTTTGTAAACTATTTCTACATTGTAGAACCTGATGATTGATCCAATATAAAGCAAGAAAATCTTATATAATGGTTGGTGTTGTTGTACAGAATCAATGCAAACTCTACATCTTTCTAGAGTTGATGAAAGAATCCCTTTTGAATCGTTATCAGAAGCATCACCTCCGAGACTTGCAAGTTTCTGCCTTTACAAGACAAATTCTCCACGGAATGTTGTATCTTCATGATAGGCATGTTATTCACAGGTACATACATTAGTCAAGCTTAATTACTTCTTCTCTCTCGTGTTGTTTTCCTAATAAACAAACTGATTTTCCGAAACAAAGTAACTATTGCGCAAGTTGACCCTGTAGTGTGGTCTTTTGCATCTTTTAATTACTAATTATGGTTCCAGAGCTATAATCTTACATTAGCTCTCCCTCATTCACGTAACACTTAGCTATGCAAAACTAACTTTAAGGCAAGTCATGATGTCCAAGAGTTAAAAGGCATATGCTTCTTAAGTAACCATGTTTGACTGAAAGTTCTACCTCTCAAAAAATTTGACATGGTCTAGCAGGTAGTTTGAAAAATGTCAATGGTGGTTGTTCAATCAAGTTGTTTAACCTTAGTGGGTCTTTGATTTCCTTAAATCTCTACGACATCCTTTCTAGGGACATCAAATGTGCAAATATACTGGTGGATGCAAATGAATGTGCCAAACTTGCTGATTTTGGTCTCGCAAAGGTCATGACCTTTTCCCTCTCTTTTTTTTCCCTTGCTTGCTTTGTTTCTAATTTTCTGAAAACAGTTAATGCTCTTGCATTTGTCTTGATACTGCTGTTTTTCACTTAGGCAGGTTTCTGCACTGAATAATGTTTTCTCTTGCAAGGGAACTCCGTATTGGATGGCTCCTGAGGTTTGCACCCGTTCTCTTCAACTTTCTCTCTCAACTTTTTATTATGAAATCAGTGTATGCTTTTTTGTTCTCTAGTGGTGTGTAGATGGTTCCTTCATTATTTCATGATATACAAATCAAGCAATATGGTCAATGACTGCGGCATTGATGTCACAGTTTTCTGTAGTCTATCTGTGACATTCTTCATTAGCTATTTTACGTGATGGTAACTATTTTGAAGAAAAGTTATGCATTAAGGTTAGACCTCAAGAAAGATTAGGCCTTTTGCCATTGTGTTCGGAATCTAACTGAAGCACTTTTACATTTGCCTCTGAAAGGAAGATTTAAATTTGTTGTTATGTTATCTTGTTGAGACAAGAAAATCAAGATTCTCCTTTGGGATTTCTTTTGTTTAATTGAGCTTTACTTATCTTCAACCCGTTAATATCATAGATTTGAACACAGAAAAGGCCCATGAATGGCAGTCTTCAAGTTTTCAGCTCGCATTGTTATTCTGATGATTAGTCCTTTCTGATGCAGGTTGTTAGTAGCAAGAATCAAGGATATGGTCTAGCAGCTGACATATGGAGCCTTGGTTGCACTGTGTTAGAGATGTTGACTCGTCAGTTTCCATACTCAAATTTTGAACCAGTAAGTATAAGATTGCGGTTTGTCATCTTTCATTATGTTTTATATTCCAAACACCCTTTTTTTAATGAAAATTTAATTGGATGAAATATTTAGGAAAAGAAGCTAGGTTGATCATTTCTCCCTTAGATTCATATGTTATATTGTTCTACTGACTTAGTTAGCTTGGTTTCATATATTCCCTACGGTGAATCTTTAATTGGTTCAGCTTTGATGCATTCTTAGTATGCATGGTAGTTTGTAGTTTTTGGTTCAGAGACCACGTCATCAAATGAGTTTTTGTATTGTGTTTTGTCATTCTACTCACATCTACGCTTGGTGTGTATGATGGCAAGCAAGATTGATGTGTATACTAAATATATGCAGATATTTCATTATTTTGACTTGTCTCTTCTCTCACTTGTGACAATTGTTTTTTCTTGTTCTAGAACTTAAGTGGGGTGATATGCTTTGGCTACCTTATGTGTTTAGTTCATCACCTTTTGGTTATTGTACTATGGCTTAATGTCATTCCAGTGATATTGAATTTTAAAGAGGTTTAAACTCTAGTGTTGCAGATTTTGAGGTGAAAAGTACAAAATTAATGTAGTTTTCTGTTTCGATGCAATTGACGGAAATGAGCAGATGGCAGCCCTTTTCAGGATTGGAAATGGCGAACTACCACAGATCCCTGAGACTCTCTTGCAGTGCAAAGGACTTTATTCTCCAGTGTCTACAAGTTAGGCCAGATGCCCGGCCGACGCCGGCTCAGCTCTTGAACCATCCATTTATAAAGCTGTCTCTTTCCTCTTGATCGGCATCTCCATACCAACTCAGCTGGCATCCTGAGCAAATCATGTAAAAGCATGTATCCGCTACATTAGGTTGCTGGAAATTCATCTTTTGGTTGACTACTCTCAAAACTTTTCGAGAATAACTTCTTTTTTTCTTTTTCTTTTCAATATTTTCAAGTGTTGTTGACAGTTGATTGATCCTCATGTTCACCTTGCTATGTACTGCTGGGTGATAGCGATTAGGAATAATTCATACTCTGTCAAGTCTGACTGAAATGAACTGGAGAATCTGCATATTGGCACAGATCCTTATTTGCAGTTTTGTTGCTTGTGCCTTAAATGATATGATCCAAGAAATTTGATGTCAAAAATATTCAAACTGTTTCTTTTTTTCCAGGTAGACCTGTTTGTTTTTACATATGTTGCTCAGTTTTTTCCTAAAGCTACAACGTCTCTCTCGATTATTGTATCAGAAAAATAGTAGCAGATGCCTCTGCATATTTTCGTCGGTTGCCTATAAAACAATCTCTCAAATTCAAAGCAAGGAGAAAGATGCTGCTACCACACACAAACCATTAAGTAGTTCAATCAGACAAAGTTTCGACCTTAACATTTTCCCTAACTGATGGAAATATCATCTTGTTTAATTGACTTAGAGCCATCAATTGAGTGGCATAACTCTAAATGGTGTACTTCTTGAAGCAAATTGCAAAACTTGAAATAAAACGTGCCCACAATTTTATTTTTTTTTTGGAAAAAAGGCTTTCAAGTATCACAATGAGGGTTATTTACAAGGAAGCTATAGAGCTTAATTCCAAAGACTCAAGAGAAATACCACAGCTACTACTTATAGAACCAAATGGTGAAAGATTACATAGTGAATTGATACATATAGAGAGAGAGAGACCATACTATAAGAACTGCCTCAAGAATTTACAAGATTTTATTTCCCTTATTTTTCGTCCTCCTTACCTAACTCAAAACACCAATAATGAATCCTTGATATCATAACCTACTTTCTCCAAGTTAGGATTTACGGCAAACTGAATCATAGGAGGCGGACCGCCAGTCAGCGCAAGCATTGTATCTGAACCCACAGGAAGGTGCTCCCTCAAGATATCCTCAGTGATGAATCCCAAGCTGTATTTCCATCCTTCCTGTATTGCTTTTTCAATAACATACCAGACTTTTACTCTTTCAGGGTACTTCTCAGCCAATTCGTCAAGTTCATCTTTGAGAAATATATCGTCCTCTGTGCGATTCGCGTAGACAATGTGCATCTCTGTTTCATCCTCTGGATCCTTCATTATTGCCTGCATAACTTGGGAAACCCCCGAGGTTCTATTTTACAGGAAATTCTACCGGAGTTTCACTATAAAGCCGGGGATACAATTCTAGGCTTCGTCAAGTGACACGCCCAGTGGGACCCGAAGACTAGGGTTTGTGTCACAAAACTTTCTCAAGCTTTCTAGACTTTCTCAACCGTGATCACCGTAACAAGTTAGGGTTCACCCCCGAAAAAGATGGCGGTAATCGACAACTCTCAATCCAGCACGGCGTCAACAGGCAGGGACCAAGCCTTGATGACAACGAAATCCTGGCGAAGTTCCAGGAGAAGCACAGGCGAAAGAAGAACAACCACCACTCAAGAAAAGAAAAAACTCCCACGAGACCATCCAATCTCGGGAAAGAAAGGGAGAAGAACCCTAGCAATCATCGCAAAACACCCAATCCATGTGATGAAGCATGGTTGGCTGAAATCGAAGCAGAACTCAAAAAGTTGCGATACAATAACAGTCTCAATCAGAGGAAGAAAAAGTACATGTTGGAAGAATATCGACGCCGTTGTTTGCTTGGTCAACCTGACCCAACAGATCAAGAATTACAAGACTTAATCGACGAGAAAGAGGCACGCAGGACGTTCGCTTTGCTCGAGAAGAAAAAGGGCAAACGCAAAGTCCTGAGCGAGGAAACCAAGAAAGCCTACAGGGAGACCCCTAACCGCGAAATCTCTCAGGAAAAACAATCAATTGGTCGTAGCATAGCCTTCTGGGGTTCCTTTGAACGAACGTACCCTGCTTTCCCGATAGTACTCAAGGAGTTTGCCAACGAACGATAACGCAAGAAACAGTCTCGTATCTATCATTGCCACGACTCACCTAGTATCGAGATGGTGTCTGGAAGAGATTCGAATCCCCCACCAAAAGCTAACGTGCATTCTCGTCTGGGACCAAGAGTTCCTGAGGAAAGGTCCCACCTTAATTATGATAACGCATATCGGGCACCTCCTCGAGATACAGATTATTCTCGTGGAGGTCGTTACCCGGACGACCATTACGACCCACGACAATCTCCTCAACCTCGACACATCGAATGGCGCCCCCAAGAAGAATCTTATGTCCCTCGACGTCCGGGGGAATATGGCAATAAGAACCTGTTCGTCTGAGAATCAATGAGAAGAATGATAAGGATGATTGTTGACAAAAGTCCATTCGTACTAAGGATTCGTGACTGTCCAAAACCCCGAGACTTTGACTTCCCGAAGGATTTCGTAAAATACTCGGGAGACTCTGACCCGCAGCAATTCCTGCATGGATATGTCCAAGTCATGAGAATCTGAAACGCATCACTCGATTTCATGGCTAAAGCCCTTCCTCTTATCTCGCTGGACAGGCACAACGATGGTTTGGACAGTTGCCGGAAGCAAGTATTACCTGCTTCGAGGACTTGTCAGTCAAGTTGGCCACACGCTTCTTTCCAAGCAAGTAGATCACAAGAATGTCAATCGACCTTTCCTCGATTAAACAAGGACAAAACGAGAGCCTTTCTGATTTCCACAGTCGTTTCACCCGAGAAACTCTCCAAGTTGATTGCCTCGATGATAGAGATGTACGAAACGGATTCATTCAGGGTCTTAACACATTCGAGAAATCTACTACTTTGAGGGTGAAATTGTCTACCAAACCTCATCACAATACACAAGAGATGTGGGCCACAGTAGAAAGTTACATCCAGCGAGAACAGACACTTAAACGCTCACGGGAATCCTTCTCGATAGCAGGAGATCGAGGCGAAAGGGACAGGCTCAAGTCTACAATTGAAGCCAAGCCAGCACTGCCTAAGCTCGACAGACAACTAACTACACTATTGAAACCCCGACGAGAAATCCTCCAAATCCACAAGGACGAGCTCCCTATTCCAAAGCCATTGGCTCCCAATCCTAACAGTTCCATAGATTAGTACTGTGAGTATCATAAGGACTATGGCCATGACACTGAAGATTGTAGGGAGTTAAAACGAGAAATCGAAGCTGGAGTAAAGTCTGGGAAATTTCAACAGTATGTACAGAATGTCTCTCGACAAAAGAGAGGGAAGTTCGTAAAACCGCGTAACTTTCCCAAGAAGAACTACCGAGGCCCTCGAGTGGATAACCAGGGTAATAACTGGACACCAAGAAACAATGCACAGCAATCCGCTCAGTAGCCCCTCGACGGCGGTCCTCAACCACTCCAACAAGTCCCTCCATCAGATCCTACTAAGCAGATTTCTCACAATGGGGCAATCTATGGTGCACCACTCGAGGTTCTTTCTACAACAGCCATGAAGGCGTCAGTTCGAGAGGTAACTAAAAAGCTTCCACAAGAGCCCAGCCATAAACGGTTCAAGGGAATCGGGGCAATAGTCTTCACGGACAGTGACGTAGTCCCATACATCTGTCCACACAGCGACGCCATGGTTATTGAAGCTATCATAGGAAACGTTCACGTGAGCCGCCTATACGTTGATAACGGCAGCACAGTCGACATCATTTATAGCGACTGTTTCAAGAAGATGAACATACAAAATCCTGATTGGCGTCCAGCAACATTACCATTAATGGGCTTCTCTGGGCACACGATTATCCCCAGCGAAATCGTAAGGCTTCCAATCACGGTAGGGTCATATCCTCGAATGTTAACCTTAACCGTGGATTTCGCCATAATTAACGCACCCTTGCCGTTTAACGTGATTTTAGGATGACCGTGGATGTGCCAAGCCCGTACTGTTTGGTCCCCTTACCACTTGGTAGTGAAATTCCCAACGAAGTACGGGATAAGGATAGTACAAGGGTGCCAACGTAGTTCTCGAGAATGACTCCTTACGGCAGTGAAAAAAGGAAAAAAAGGCAGTGAAATCTAGAGTTACCACCACCGCATTGGGGTGTTACTCAGTCCAACAAGGAGTTTTATTAGTGGAATCCAAGAAAGAACGACAACCTATGGATCTCGACCATCCTTACCAACTGCCACTTAGCAGCAAAACATAGGAGTTAGTCTTGGACGAAAAGGAGCCAGAAAAGATGATCCAACTTGGAGTATCTATAGATGGAACATTGCGGGCCGAGGTAATCGCCTTGCTACGTGAGTTCTAAGATATCTTTGCTTGGGCACCATCTGATATGACGCGAGTTCTTCGGAAAATCATCGAGCATAAGCTGAACGTAGATCCCAACGTCAAACCAGTACAACAAAAAAAAAAAATCTTTGCTCGGGACCGCAATGACGTTATCCACGAGGAAACGCTCAAGTTAGATAGTGCCAACATTCTTCGAGAAGTTCTTTGGCCCACTTGGTTAGCCAATCCAGTTCTCGTCCGAAAGCCGGACAACTCCTGGCGCATGTGCCAAGATTACACTGATCTCAATAAACATTGACCCAAGGAGTGCTACCATTTGCCAGTCATTGATCAAATGGTTGAGGGAATCACCAGGTTTAACTCTCAGCTTTCTCGACGCCTACAAGGGATATCATCAGATCCTTATGGCCCAAGAAGATGCAAAAAAAAAAGAAGCGTATATCACCGAAATTGGAGTCTACTGCTACGATAAAATACCGTTTGGACTAAAGAATGATGGAACCACTTATCAGCGGTTAGGTAACAGAGCCTTCCACGAGCAAATGTATTTAGATGATATGGTCATCAAGACTCATCTCGACGACAAGATAGTAGAGGACATCAGAGAAATCTTCACGATTCTCCATAAGATCAACATGAAGCTCAATCTAAAGAAGTGTTCCTTTTGCGTAGGTTCAAGGAAATTCTTAGGATTTCAAGTCTCCAAGGATGGCATAAGCGTGGATCCCACAAAGGTCGAGGTGATCCTCACTATGAAGGCCCCCAAGACGGTTAAAGAAGTCCAGAAACTTACCGGTTCTCTCGCTGCACTAAACAGATTCCTTTTTCATGCAGCTGAGAGAAACCTTCCCTTTTTTAAGACACTAAGGAAGGGGATGAAATTTGAGTGGAACGAGGAATGCCAACAAGTTTTCCAAGACCTGAAGGAACACCTCAAACAGCTCCCTATGTTAGCAAAACCTGAGCCAGGGGAGGTCCTGTACATTTACTTGGCTGCCTGGGAAATAGCTATATCCGCGGTCTTAATTCAGAAGAAAGACGGAAAGAAAATCCCAGTATACTTTGTGAGCAAGGTTTTACAAGGAGCAGAATCCCGATACACTCCCATGGAAAAGCTGATACTAAGCATGGTGTTGGCTGCTCAATGGCTACGCCCCTATTTCTAAGCTCATCCAATCCAAGTCCTGACTAAGCAATCGATTCAGTAGGTTCTCTTTAAATCTGAAGCCTCTGGCCGAATGATGAAGTGGGTCGTCGAGCTGGGAGAACATCATATCGAGTACAAGCCTAGAACAGCTATAAAAGGGTAGGCGTTTGCAAATTTTCTCGTCGAAATGCCCCGTACTTCTAGCACCATACTCGAACCACCTTCAAAAAAAGCAAGTGCACAAGCATGCTCCCATGGATCCTCGAGTATGGACTCTTTACGTCGACGGCTCATCTTATGAGGACGGGGGAGGAGCCGGCATAATCCTAGCCAAACCCACCGCACCACAAGAAATCGAGGAGATCAAGGAACATGATACGGAATAGTCTTATGCCTTGCGATTTGACTTCCCGGTCACCAACATTATAGCCAAATATGAAGCAATAATAACGGGGTTGAATATGACTCTGAGACTGGGGGTTCGAAATTTAGAAGTTTTCAGTGATTCTCAGGTGGTTGTTAAGCAAATCAATGGCGACTACACTGTCCATGAGTAACATTTAAGGCCATATCTCGAGAAAGTCCTCGACATCAAGGATAAGTTTGACAAATGCTCCATATCCCATATCCTTAGAGCTAGCAACAAGAGAGCCGACACCTTAAGCAAGCTAGCTTCGTCCAATTTTGCACATTTCAGTCATAAAGTGTGGGTCAAGATACTCCCCGAACCTAGCATCCAGCCCTGAGTATCACTCATGATCACTAAGATGGAGATAC